CTTTTAGTTGCTGATGGGCCATGCTTGGTTGGGCTGGGCTTAGCACCTATAATAAATCACAGGCTCAAGCATGCTCTGATCTGAATTGGGCTTTGGGCCTATGACTTTAAATACATTATGTTTAGTATATATAATATTTTTAATCCAAGCTAGAAATGATCACCCATAAGCTAGCCCCATTTTTACATAATTACAGAACTCCTTGGAGTATCGAGCCTCAATACAAATGACTTCTTGTTGCTCCCTGTTTTGCCAGTCCATCAGCCAATTGCTGGCCTTGGAGTCCACCTATGAACAAATTGTAGCTGTTCAACAAACTTGTTGTTTTTCCTCATAATATGCCTATTTTTTCACAAACCTACTCTATTTCTTCAACCAACTTGTACTTACATAATTACATTTTGTTACATTTATTGATCAAAATACATTTTTGTTACATTTAATTTTATAAAACATTAATACATTACACTCGTTGATGTAATGTATATTCAAATGTAGTTTACAAGGAACCCAACTTTCTTAGTTTGACAGCTTTAATTTCAAATTTTATATTCAAATGTTCTTGTTTCATTTCCCAATGTTTTCAAAATTTGAGCTTTGACTTCCTAAAAAGTAAATTGATAAAATTGGTATTCACATGGTTACATCCATCATACAATTTTTTGTGCATGTTTTAAGCTTTACCAATTTCGAAAACATTGTCTAAAAGAGCATGTATTTGCTCATTGCTTGTCCGGTGGGAATATAGGTATGATAAGCTGGTAATTTTAGGAATGACTTGGATTTCCCCTTTGATGGTCCATTTAGAAGGAGAGAAATGGTTGCATTTTGAGGACTTCCAGTATATTAGATTTGTTTAAGGGACCATTGGTCAAGGTTCCTCTTGGACCTCTTTTATAATATACTAATAAGCAGTCCTTTTAATAATTTTTAAGGATTGTCCTTATTTTTTTTACCATATTTCCTTTTTCTGGCCATTAATATTTGGCATTTGGTCCACTTTTTTGCATTCAGAAAGTTTTCTAGTATGTTTCTTTAACTACTTAATTCATCCTTATTAGTTCTTGGTATATCTTTGCCATTCTTCTTATTTTTAACTCTGCTCTGTATTATTACATTTGGAATTTGACTTTATATGCTTTATGTGTTTTACAGTTGAGGATTGCTCCAAATATACTCCAAACTGACTCTACCATTCTGGTCCGTTGGTTCTCAAAAGCTGCTTGCCCCTCCATCAATAAAGGAGATGGTAAGTAGTTGGTTTAGTTTTAATGAGGTCTAATATTTATTTGTCAACCTAGCAAAGGAGCAAGCCTCATGATGGTCATTAAGTGTTGCATACTATTTTCTTTGTCCGTTGGTATCAATTTTTACATGCTGGTTGATAGATTTATACCATCCATGTGCACTTAAAAAATGAAAGATTATTCTGAAACTATCTATACTTGATTATTGGATAAGTAATTATCTTGTCTTACATTTGAAGTTTCTATGATCAGGGTATGACACATAATTCTAAGGGTTCCATTTTCTATCCTTCGATTAAATGACCTAAGGGCTAACGCTCAGATTTCATCTACTTTTCTCTGCATCCATTGAGTGCATGATGTTGGTGCACATTACATATGCTTGTCCTTATGGTTTTTCATAGGCCTGATCATGTTGTATTCATGTTTTCACATGTATATTTTTCGATCAAAGATGTCAGTGTATGTCTGACTGCATGCATCACCATGTGAGTGTATGAACATGTATCGTGGAGAGTTGTGGGCCCAAATATATATATATATATATATACATATACTGGGAAGACCATACATGTTGGGGTCCAAGTGTATGTGTGAAACTGGAGGATGCAACTGCTTCTGTTTATTTCTTCCTCAATGTGTTGGATATCTAGATATATGCACGTGCTATGTGCACAAGTTGATCTTGTATTGTGCTAGGATGAAGTTCATACCTACCTATATATCTGTTTTTTTTTTGATTGACAATTAATTGGAATTTATTATATCTACCTATATCTTTGTTTTAATTTTCAGTAATCTATATTTCTTTTTGTTGGGGCAATTTGTCTATCCATCTCTCTCTCTATGTATGTATATATCATATTTAAACTTGCACAAGGGCTAAACTTTGTATATTTCCAAGTCTTTAGTTTCCATGTGGTTGTTTTTCCTGGATAAAAAATCCTCACTATCAGCCACCTTATCAGCAGAGACATTTCAGTTCTCAACAAGGTTTAAAATGTCGATGCCGATGGAAATGTCGCTTACCAAAATATAGGACATATGTTGGAAATGTCGAGGGGAAATATTGTAAAAATTAGAGGCATTGTGGAAATATGCAATGATACTTTGTAAAATGATAAAAGAAGCATTAATACATATTTCTAGACTATTATCTTATTCCCTACCATTATATAAAGCTAAGAAACTAAGATCAATAATAAATTAGTAAATGACAACTGATTTATTATGCATTTTGATGTTTTTACAAGGTTATTCGATATTTTCTTTTCTTATTTTTAATTCTGATTTATTATAAATTCGAATATATTTATTTCACACTAGTAAATAGAAATACATTTATTCTGATTTTTTAAATATTAAAGTTATAATACATTATGTTTTATTATAAATTTAATAAACTGATTCTCCTTT